ACCTTCTTCCACTACACCTTGACTACACCTTGGAATCCCGCGTTTTTCACTTTCCTTACCTTCTTCCACTACACCTTGAAATCCCGCGTATTTCACTTTCCTTACCTTCTTCCGATACACCTTGAAATCCAGCGTAATTCACTTTCCTTACCTTCTTCCACTACACCTTGGAATCCCGCGTTTTTCACTTTCCTTACCTTCTTCCACTACACCTTGAAATCCCGCGTATTTCACTTTCCTTACCTTCTTCCACTACACCTTCTAGATCACCTTGATCTTCACATTCAACAGAAAACAGATTCTCTGCGTAGAATCCTTTCACTTTGGACCAGCGGATGGCAAGATGTTTGGGTGAAGGATTCAAAAGATCGAGAACCTGAAGTTAAACACAAAGTCACTCAATAAAACGTGTTCAAGAAATCTTACTAGCCACGAGAAATAGCAAAAATTTTGTGAAATGTTTAAACATTAATTAAAAAAAACAAAACAATATAAGAACCGATATAAAGTTCATAATAGTTACATGTTCTTTGTACACTTCTAGATACGATGCATGTATGGTAAACTCTTCGGTTGTCCTCTGCCCGATTTCATCAAACAAGTAGCTAAAAGCGAGATGTACCAAACCAGGAATATTACTGTTTGCTGCTTCAGTACCCTAGCGAGAAAGTGAAAAATAATTATAACGTCACAGGACGTTTTTGCTTCTTATCTGGAACTCGCCCAAAAAAACAAAAACAAATCAAATACAGTGTCTTACATCTTTAACTCATATTATTACTAAGCCTATTTAAAAGCATCTTGGTCAGTCATGAGGAAAATAAGAGTAAAGTTCAAAATTAATATATTCTGAACACAGGAATCTAGCTTTACTTCCATGTATATTTATTTCACATTCTTGTCGATAGATGTCAGATAAGTCGTACGTTGAAACTGATTAAGACTTACTTGAGGTCCTGTTAAAGTGTAAGTTTTCCCTGAACCTGTTTGTCCATAAGCCATAACGGTACAAGAAAACCTATAAAAATGGAAAGAAAAGTTATTCTAATAATGAAAACGGAAGAGTGTGTATTTTATCTATATTAATACTTGGAGAAAAAGTGTGTGTATCTGACAGTAGATAGAAGACACTACACAAGACTGTGTGTGACTGTATATGTATCAGTAGATAGAACACACAACACAAGACGGTGTG